ACGAAGGATAGTTTGTTAACAATAGAGTGGAATTCCAGCTGGCACGATGGAAGGGTAGGGTATAGTGGGATAGGGATATAGAATGGATGGGTATTTGGATGGGCAAGAAGGAGAGAAGAGCCAGCCTAAGCTGGGACAAGTACTACTCTATGGTTCCATTCCTAATCACAGGGATTGTTAGGAAGGAGGGCTATAGGGCAATCGATTGCCATGCCCTTCACAGCAGCAGTAGTAGTAATGTTGGGCCCAGCTGGGCATAGAAGAATGAGGCATGTTTGAGGGTCTCACCTTGAATCAGCAGCCAGGTCATCTCTGCCCTGTCCATCAATGACACCAGTGCTGGGGTGATCTCCTCCAGGGTATTGATCCAAAGAGCAGAGACTCATTTCCAGAGCTTCTGACTTCAAATTATTGCTCTTTCTATTATACTATGCTGCCTCCCTAATTGCAAAATACTTATTTGATCATCAGCATTAACCTTACTAAAACAAATCTTGCTAGTCTGACTCAGAATAGTTGCAGTGCAACCGGAATTACATTGGACCTTAGCTAATCAATTGTCTTCTAACCACAGTCAATCTAGCCCTAGGAGATCCTTTGAACAAAAGCATTTTTAGCATGTGGACAATATGACAGCGTCCATGTTAATTCATAAGACTTGCATTATAGCCTTTTCAAATCCTACTGCAAGGCTTTCCTACCTGAAGATAATATACCCTCCACTTGTCTGAGAGGCTACAATTCTCAAAGCAGTTTCACAGCCATTATTTCCTTTGATCCCTACAAAATCCCTGTTATACTTGTGGGGCAAGCATTATCCCTGTTTTGCAAAGGAAAAAAACTGAAACTCAGATAAAGGAAGTGACTTGCCCGTCTTCAAACAGCTTATTAATGGCAGAACTGGGACAAAACACATGTTCCCCTCTGCTTTGCTACCTCTTTTGACAGCTAATGCATGGTTCGTTAACTGTAATTGGTGTCCTACCTTGGGCCTTGGTCCAAAAAAAAAGTACAACTTGAAAATCTTTCTAGTAACTATCCTCCTGAGTCCCACCTGGACTTTCTAATTAATTTGTAGAGCAATTAGGAATATTCACTGGACTGGAGTCATTACATGGTCTTGCTACAGGAAAAGAAGATACCTGGGGCAGCTAATCAGGCTAGAGATAGTTATCCTTTTGCTTAGGAAAAAAAAAGTCTACCTGTGGGAAGATAGTAAGGAAAGTAAAAATATCCATCAAGAATAACTCCCTTTTGGTGCTTGCAGCTCAGAATATCTACATGTATACCATTTATATGTATCTTTATTTCATTATCTGTATTTATAGCTATATATCATCTCTATATGTAGATGTATAAAGATATACCTTGGTCAGATTGAAGTAAACGTAGGATTCCAGCTATTGCCAGCCACAAAGATGATCATAGGGATATGTTATCATTTCAACAATTTAATAAACATTTATCAAATACCTGTTGTGTATGGGAGAGCCTGTGGTTAGGGCTGTGGATACACAGATAGATCCAGTATACAGTGCTATCTGAAGGAATTTATTGTAATAGGAGGAAAGAGCTGTGCCCAAATGAATATGGCGCAAAAAAAGTCTAGGCAATTCAATTCAACAAGATCTTCCAACCACTATGTGCCCGGGCTTGGGACTGGAAGACAAAAATAAAGCAGTTCCTGCCCTTAAGGAACTTATATGATAGTAGGGGATACCTGTGAGCATTTAAGTAAATACAAGATAACTTGAGGAGGATGGAGTACTAACAATTGGTAGGGGTGGATATGGGGGGATGGGAAGGGCTTCCAGGTGGGAGGCAGCAGGCACTCAAGCTGAGCCATGAAAGAAGCTAGATATTTCTTTTTTTGCGCTGAAAGTGGTGACTTTATTGATGGTACACAATATAGGACTCTAGGCTTCTCTCCCCGACTACTGGGGTGCTTTGGGACAAGGATATGAATGGAACACAGGATTCCTCCATATAGGAACATAGGTTAGGAATGTAGGTTTCTCAGTGGCGGATCTCCTTTTTTTGGCTGTGGATGAAGGTCCATGGTTTTCCATTTACTCCTTGGAGGCCATGTAGACCATGAGATTTCCTACACAGTTGCTATAACCATACTCATTGTCATACCAGGAGCTTGACAAAATGATCATTGAGGGCAATACCAGCACCACCATCAAAGGTAGAAGAGTAGGTGTTGGTGTTTAATTCACAGGATACAACCTGGTCCTCTATGTAGCCCATTATGCCCTTCAAGGGTCCCTCTGATGCTTGCTTTATCACTTTCTTGATATCATCATATTTTGCAGGTTTCTCCAGGTGGCAGGTCAGATCCACAACAAATATATTGGGAGTAGGAACACAGAAGACCATGCCTGTGAGTTTCCCATTCAGCTCAGGTATGACCTTGCCTATAGCCTTAGCAGCACCAGTGGAAGTTTGGGTGATGTTTTGGGCAACACTACGCCTATCATGCCACAGCTTACTAGAGGGGCCATCTACTGTCTTCTGGGTAGCATTAATGGCATGGACTCTAGTATGAGTCCTTCTACAATGCCAAGGTTGTCATGAATGACCTTTGTCAAAGTGGCCAAGCAGTTGGTAGTGCAGGAGGCATTACTGAAAATCTTAAGGGAATTATCATATTTCTCATGGTTCATTCCCATCATGAACATTGGGGCATCAGCAGAAGGGGCAGAGATGATGACCCTCTTGGGCTCACCTTTCAAGTGAGTACCAGCTTTTTCCATGGTGGTAAGGACTCCAGCGGACTTAATAACATACGGCTCTAGCATCTCCCCATTTAATATTGGTGGGATCTTGCTCCTGGAAGATGGTAATGGATTTTCCATCGATCACCAGCTTTCCATTTTCAGCCTTGACAGTGCCCTTGAACTTGCCATGGGTGGCATCATATTGAAACATATAAACCATGTAGTTGAGGTCAATGAAGGGGTTGCTGGTGGCCATGATGTTTACTCCACCTTAGGTGAATGCAGCCTTGGTCACTAGGCACCCACTATGACCAAATCCATTGACTCCAACCTTTGCCATCTTGTTTCAGGGATGCAGCTGAAGCAGCTTACTGAGCTTGGGAGAAAAGCTGAAAAGAAGCTAGATATTCTAAGAAGTAGGTATGAAGAGTACATTTCAGGCACTGGGGACTGCTTTGGCAAATGTACATTTGGCAAATGTAGGAGATAGAATACTGAATGAGAGGAATAGTAAATAGGCTAGTTTGACTGGAGTGCAAAGTGTGAGAAGGGGAATGATTCAGACTGTGAAGGGCTTTGCATTTGGGGTTGATTTTTTTTTTTTATCATAAAGATACTCAGAAGCCATAGGCAAAGTGCTATGAGAAATCTGAGGAAGGAATTACTTTCATCTGAGGAGGGGCAGTTTCAGGAAAAGATGAATAGAGGAAATTACCCAAGTTATACCTTAAAAGAAAGGAAAGAGTTTAATAGATGGAAATAATTGGAGGAGAAATCCATTCCAAGCATGAGGGATGGTGTCAGCCAAAGCTCAGGAACAAATAAGCAAAAGCAATGAAACAAGACAGGGCAGGACAAGAACATGAAACAGAATTGTCCAGTTTGTCTGGAACATTGAATCTATTTTCCCCAAGGAATGTTTCAACATCCTGGGGCAGCATAGAGAGAACCAGGCAACTTTGGGTAGTGTTGGGTAGCATGTGTGTAGGGTGGGTAGGGTTGGCACTTTCCCATTTTCATTGTAGGCAGCAACTAAATTGTTTCTGAAATCTCTGTGATGTATGAATTTTATAATCTCAGCCTTCTCTGACTATGACCATGACAGGAACAGCCACTGCCTCTTGACAGAGCCAAGTGAAAAACCATAACCCGCTTCTGAGAGTTCACATATTCAGCAAGGTGATATAAATGGACACATACTGGCTTTTTGACCCTGGGCATTTGACCTATTGTTCTTTCTGTTGTTCAGTTATTTCAGACTTTTCGTGACCTTATTTAGGGTTTTCTTGGCAAAGATACTGGAGTGGTTTTCCATTTCCTTCTCTAGCTCATTTTACAGACGAGGAAATGGAGGCAAACAGGATTAAGTGACCTGTCCAGGGACACACAGCTAGTAAGTGTCTGAGACCAGATTTGAACTCAGGTCCTCCCACCTCTAGGCCTGGTGCTCTATCCATTGTACCACCTAGCCACCAGTGCTCTAGGCTGCTAGATTAGCAGCTGCTGAGAAGGTGCCAACTTGCATTGTTAGAGAGTTTCCTTAACCATTGAGTTCCTTGTCTCAATGAAATCTCAAGTCCAGTCCCAGAGTCACTGATTGTCCCTTCTCTTTCTCCTTTCTCAAAAAACAAAAACAAACAAACAAAAACCTCCCCTAAAAATGTAGGATTTTTGCTTATAAATTATACAGGAAAGTTTCAAAACCATCAGAGCTAGTGTGGCAAAGCTAAAAGGGGATTGTGTTTAGAGTTAAAGAACCCGAGTTTAAACCCCAGTTTTATCTTGTATAACTGTGGGGAAACTTGTTTTTCTCATCTGTAAAATGAAGAGAGATGGTAGATGATCTATGAAGTCCTTTCCAGCCTTACACCATAAACTCCTAAACAGAAGATTTTTAACTTGTCAGGGATTCAAAACTCCCTTTGGTGACTACAATGGATTTTGAGTCTGACAAACTAATTGAAAAGGGGACAGTAATCCCACTTAACAATTCTATACCTTTCTGGTGAATAAATGGTTTTGTGCAAGGCAGGCACTGTGTTAAGCAATGGAGCAGGGAGGGGGATGGGAACAGTGTTGTGGAAGGGAAAATACAAAGATGAAGTACAATCCCTGCCGTCAAGAGATGTCAGGTAAGTTATACAGGAAAATCAGTGAGAAGTCAGAGCCTTCAGTCATCTATGATGAAACAAGGCAGTGACATCCTTGTCAGTCATCAACTAACATTTATTAAGCACCTACTATATGCCAGGTACTATGCTAAGCAATGGTGATTAAAAAAAAGAAAGGAAAAAGACGGTCCCTGCTCTCATGGATCTTAGTCGAATGGATAGTAAGTACATAATAGATATATGAGAACAATTATGTGTAAATTTATATATATATATATATATATATATATATATATATATATGTACATATGTATATATACAGGATAAATTGAAGATAATTAACAGAAGGAAGGCACTAAGATTGAGGACTGGGAAAGGCTTCTTTCAGAAACTGGCACATTAGCTGAGACTTAAGAAAGCCAGGGAAGCCAGGAGGTAGAGTTTCAGACAAGGGGCATAGCTGGTGCAAATGTCCAGAGTTGGGAACTAGAGTGTCTGAGGAACAGCAATGTGTAAGAAGACTGGAAAGGTAGGAAAGGGCCAAGTTATAGAAGGCTTTTATAATCAGCAGCAGCACATACTACTTCAATGTATTATTTTTCACATTTTACAGATGATAAAAATGAAGATGGACATGCCCATTGGCACCTTGTTGAGAAGACTAAAGACATTTGATTAAGACTCAGTAACTGGGGTTGTCCTCAGGATGAATTAATAATTTAGCCTGTTACTTGTCGCCTCCTAAAGGATGGGGTTTCACTGACAGTATTTACCATCAAGATAAATTGGTTGGCATGGACTCTTGTCAAAGGAACCATCCCTTTGTGTTATCCTATAAAAAGGGCCTTCCTCAAAGACTCAATTCCTATTTTCAACTGTTTCCCTCCTGAATTTCTTCTGGAGAGATTCTGAAAGTAGAACAAATCAATATGATTCTTCCTCTCTGGGACAATGGTCAATAGTGGATTTGTCAAGACATATAGCAGAGTTATGAGTCAAGACATATAGCTTACCCATGTGCCCAAGAGAGGAGTTCCTGTATGTTACAGTTCCTAAACCTCAACTCCCTTATTTATAGGAGTAATGGGGAAAGGGGATTCCCTAGGTGACATGCTCCCAGAATCTGGCTTGCAAGCCAGAGAAGGTAAATTTCTTGAGTAATGCCAGCTTTACTGGTACCTTCATGAATAATCTCAGGTCCAAGACTTTGAGGATCTGTTCTTCTAATCATAAAAGGGAAATTTATGAACCATGTACCTCTTGGAAAGAGAAGAAGATTATCTGTGTACCCCTATTCATATACCACATCACAGATTGAGGAGCATCAAAGGAACAGAATCACGACATGGGAGAGCAAGAGACCCAGACTTCACTCTCTGTTCTGAGTTTTTCAGGGGAAGGAGGTTACCTGCCTAGCAACCCCAAAATGGGTTTCCTTTCTTGGGAAAGGGAAATTTAAATTATGTTATATTGATAAATTGGAAGATTTTGTGATTCTGCAGAAAAGTAGGACCCACCAGAGAAGGAGAATTGTATTGATTGTTTATGAGCTATTGTGAGCCCTTTGTGTATTTTCTACATTTGTTTATGAGTTCCTGTGAGTCCTTTAAGTTTTCTGTATTTTCTCTAGGGTGAAATAAATCTATTACTATTGTTATATTTAGTGTTTATATGAGATCTGGGGGAACCCTTATACCAACATCTGTGGAGACCTAGACATGAGCTGTATGCTGATATTTTCTCAGATTAAACTCTTGGGTGGATGGTGTATGAGCCAGAGACAGAATGATTTGGGGGAGAAATTTCCAATATTAGACCCAATCTGCATAAACACAGGACATAGCGGTGCTGGCAGATGGGTTACATTAGTGCAAATAAACATACATATGTGAGTATATATAGGCATAGACATGCGTGCATACAATAGTCTTATATTAACTCTAAGTAATGAAGGTTTTCTCATTAACTTTGATTTTTCAGAAATGGGGCACCATTAACATGGTGTTCAGTGTTAACATAGGTGATCAGTTGGTAACAGAAACCAGGTCACAATGGCAATCTTTGTAATTTAAAAGGATATATTTTCACATGTAAAGTCCTGGGAGCTTGAATTTGGTGATATTCCTGCTGCTGGAAATTTGAGATGATATGGATTGGAGAAACCTGACTTTTCGCTTTAGAGCATACCTACAGATATTCTCTAATTATTTCTAGTCTACTTACTCATAGTGAAGAATAGTAGGGGTGTGTTTGAACCAGCTCTTAATAGTTCCTAAGAGTCAATTCTTAAATTTTCAGTGCATTTACACCTCAGAAATCAGCAAAGGCTATAAATCAGAGCTTGATTTATTCTTTTGTTGATTGTCTAGACTTAAGAAAGTGATGTATAAAATGTTAATTATGAAGATTAAACTTAAGTGTGTCACGTATTTTTTTTAAGAGAGCTGGTTATTAAACATTTACTAGCATACCACTATTCCTTTTCCTCAATGTAGTAGCTCACTCTCCTTCCTTCCTGGAGGGCAAGAGGACATCTCTCAGAAAGGTCTCTAGGGGTTCAGTGGTGGGGATTTCCTGCCCACCCTCCATCCAGTGAGTGCACAGACTTCTAGGCAAGCCTGTGCCTGGGATAGAAGTCGTCCTCTATTTTCATCTTTTTTTCCTTTGTTACAGGGCCTTATTTCTCTATCCACTCCCCACCTCCTTTCCATACCTTGTGATCAGCATGAAGGAAAGGGAGAAAGTTTCTCCACTGGGGACATTTGTATGTACTCAAGTTCCAGCTCAATAACCAACTAAAAACCTTTTTCTTTACTAGGAAGCAAATAGACTGGAAATAGAGAATACCTGTGCATTGTCTGAAGTGGGGAGGCAGTCCTCTCCATCCTGTGTCATCATGAGCTTCCAGAAGCAGGCTAATCAAACACATCCTCCCAGGACTTGGTCCTTAATGGCAGGTTCCCCCATTAGATGCAATAACTTGATTCCTTCTATCAAGATGCCATATAGATATGTCTTTTCTAGGACCTATTTGTATAAAAATATTTTAGCATCTGTTTCTGTGGTGGCTAAGAAGTGGAAATTAAAGGAATGCCCATCAGTGTGGGAATGACTAAACAAGTGGTGGTACATGATTGTGATGGAATACTACTCTGCTATAAGAAATGACAAGCAGGATGATCTCAGAAAAATCTAGACTTACGTGCACTGATACAAAGTGAAGTGAGCAGAACCAGGAGATCGTTGTACACAGGAACAGCAATATTGTATGATGAAGAACGTGAATGACTTAGCTGTTCTCAGCAATACAATGATCCAAGACAATCCCAAAGGACTAATGATGAAGCATACTATCTGCCTCCAGAGAAAGTACTGGTATTATCTGAATACAGACTGAAGCATGCTATTTTTTCTTTCTTTTCTTTTCTTTTCTTTCCTTTTCATTTCTTTTTTTATTCAAATCTTCTTATATAAAATGACTGATATGGAAATGTTTTACATGATTGCATATGTTAACTGATATCTGATTGCTTGTCATCTCTGGGGATAGGGGAGGGTGGGAGGAAGACAGGGATAGGATTTGGAAATCAAAACTTAAAAATAAAACAAATGTTAAAAGTTGTTTTAACATGTAATTAGGGAAAAATAAAAACATATTTTTAAAAGATGTATCTTTTCTTTCTGGCTTAGTACTTTGTTTACAATATCCCAAACTTGTCAGCCTACTTTAGAAATGAAATTAATAACAGAGAAATGAGTTGGAGAATCACTTACAGACCCCATGGCATTCTGGTACTGGAAAACCAGAGTCATCAAGGCTGGATGGAGGGGATTCTAGGTCCTTGGATCCAAAGGAAGATAGACTATAAAAATATAGAATGATGGAGAACAGAAAAAAAATAGTTTGAAAGTATGCCTTCCATTGTTTGGGGACTAGGAGAGGAAAGTTGAATTACCATTGAAAACCTACATGTATGGTGTTGAGTTGTATTTTTCCATAGCTTTTGAGCATGACATATGATGTCCTTGTGGTCTGAGTTGAGAGACATTCCTAAGCATGTAACTTATTTCTAGGGAGTGAGAATATAGATGAGAACAGGACCCTGGGAGGAATTTCCCAGAAAACTTCTTCCATAGTAGTGGGGACTTATTAATATTCTATTTGATTTTTGGTTGATTAATTCAATTTAATGTGATCTTAAGCTGAATTAATAGAAGTTTAGAATGATCAAAGTGATAGAACCATTATATTCTGTCCTGATCAGAGCACACGTAGAGTATTATGTCCTGTTCTGGCATCACATCTTAGGAAGGACATTGATGGAGTACCCAGAGGAGATAGAAAGATTACTTGAAGGAACTGTGGATAATTTTAGCCTGGAGATGACATTCGGAGGTGGGATGGCATTTCTTCTTTTGGGATTACTTGTCTTAAGTTACTTGTGATCCCATGATGTATTTCCACATTGTTGATAAGACAGATTCCTTATCCCCTTGGAGCTCACACAGGTAGTTTTAGTATATGAGTAGTTATAACACTAGAGAAATGGGTAAGAGATGTATAAAGGGTTATTTGAGGCTGTGTGTGTATGTGTCTGTGAGAGAGAGACAGAGACTATTATTGATTCAGTTATCAGGAAAGACTTTGTGACTTGTCACATTCATTTTCAATTTTTGTGAGTGTCACCAAGGAAAAGCATATTATTTGGCAAATAGATGCTTCATAAGTGTAGGAAGGGAAGGAGGAAGAAAAGTTTAGGGTATGTAATACTTTCCATATCACTGTATTATCTATATCTATATCTATATCTATATCTATATCTATATCTATATCTATATCTATATCTATATCTATATCTATATCTATATCTATATCTATATCTATCTTCACAGACATCTATATCTATATCTTCACAGACAAGATTTCTTTGGTGTTCATGATGTGGTTACTTTTTATCAAAAGACCATCAATTTTGTTCCATTGTGACCTCCCTTAGTTCAACTTATTGATGTTGAAAGATCCCTCCAGATAGTTTCATCTTTCCTGAATTTCTTCATGGTTTGAAAAACATCTACTGATTATTTCCAAGAGTCATGAGTTCATGGCCCAAACTGAGTCCCAGAGAGGAGAAAGAACTAGCTTGCCCAAAGCAACACAAGTAGTAAATAGCAAAGCTAGGATTTGCTTTGGCAAATATGTACAGCATACTAAAAAGCAGAG